TCAGTTTACAGTTAACGTTTGGTTTACCAGCGGTTCTCCTTTCGTGATTTCAGCAGTATTCGGTTGTCAGTGAGGTCTACAGTTGACTTCTGCAGTTTGCAAGCTTCTCACCCCGAAATGGAAAACTTAACTGCCAATGCGGTGATCGCGATTTCTTTTAGAATACCTCGCCAGTCGTTCTTATAAATTCACATACGACGCCAACAACTTTTACTACATCCCGCTTTTTTATTCTTTGTAACACTACTACTGAGAGCGTAAAAAGCAGTGTATGTTATGAGATTAAGAGACCAAAACTAAACAGGATACTCTAAAAAAAACTGGCACCCGTACAAAGGTCTGTACATTGTAAAATGAGCAATGATAAACCTGCGAAAAGCCATGAGGCCACGGTATACATTGCAAATTTTGTGTGTTTAAAAATCTCTTGACCCTGTCTAATCGTAATCAATTAAATTAAATACTCTCCAGTGGGTAAGTCACAATAATTATTCACAATCGTGTTCAAATCAAAATAATATACGCTGTAAATTTTGCGTATCGCTCGACGATTTTAAAGGCAGCATATTCATAGGGAGAATTTCCACGAGTAGTTTTTTAAATATTTGTGAGACTGGAAGTTAAACCTTTCCTTTAGCTCAAGAGGTTGTAATTGTCTTGTTATGCAAAAAAATAAACTCACCTTTCCAGCATGTCGGATCATTCGGACAACTTAGGCCGCCATGTTGGATTTTTTGTTTCCACTGTTCGACCAATGCGCATCAAGGACCAAAAATAGAACAATCCCTCACATCAGTAGTGAATCGCCTGCTTTTGTTGTTTTTCTTTCTCTTATCTCTTACAATCAGTTTTGCTCACAAAGTGAATATCAAATGAAATTATATGAAAGCAATCGGTTCCAATTAACAAAAACTTTTCTCCCGACAAAAGGTGACAGTCTTTGTTGTTACCCGCTGGCCTGTCTACAAAGATGCTCTTTAACGCCAAGGGTAGGTGTAATGATAAAAGTAATAGTTTTCACATCGCACTCTTACGGATGTGTCATGTCACCTGTTGATCAGTTTTTCGTTTTTTCGCATCTTCCTAAAAAGATTGAACCTATTAATTAAAAAATGGAATCGCAAAAATAAAGTCAAAATAATATGGAGAGAAAGGTGTCTTGTTGTGTTTATCAAAAAATCAAGGAGCTGAATTCCCTGATCTAAAGATAAGAGGTGAATGTTTTAATGAGAAATAAGATATTTTATATCTTATCTTACATTGCCAAAAGGTCTAGATAGCAGCAGATATGTCGCGAGTTGAAGAAAATAAACATTTTTAAAAACATGTTTTGACTTTGTATTTTGTATAAATCAGAAATGAAGATATCAGAAGAACTGTCGAAACATTTCGTATATTTTTTATCTTACATTGTTTTTCAGAAATATTTTTACTTCTTTTCATTGTGCTCAAGTGGTAAAAATCTTTCAGTTGTTACGTTAACCTTGACAGTTACCGTTCAAAAAATTTTCCCAAAAATTTTGCTTATTTGCTGAGTCTAAAGTCCTACCAAATAAAGACATAGTCTTCAATATGGGCGGCCGTCACCACCTAAAATACAAGGATGTCAAATAGATCAGCAAATATTAGCTATGCAGGATAGCATAGCTAACAAAGGAATGGCATGGCCAAATTATAGACGGTTTAGTTTTCCTTCATGAAACAGAACACCCTGAAAATGAATAGCTTAGCCTAATGATAAACGGTGTAGTTGCCTATGTCGAATTGGAACATGAAGTTGTGAAATGGACCAGCTCAATTCCGAATGGTTTAGCACTCATTTGCAATACAGTACACAAACGGTGTAGCCTTGCGTGAAATGGTTCAGTGTAATGTCGAATGGCACCGCAGTGTACACGAATACGGTGTAGCGTTGCGTGAAATGGCTTTGCGCGACGTGGAATAGCACAGCGCACATACAAACGGTGTAGCGTTGCGTGAAATGGCTCAGCGTAATGTCGAATAGCACAACATACATACAAACAGAGTAGCGTTGCGTGAAATGGCTTAGCGTTATGTCGAATGGTACAGCGAATGGTAAAGCGTACACACAAACGGTGTAGCGTTGCGTGAAATGGCTCAGCTTAATATCGAATAGCACAGCGTACAAACAAACAGCGTAGCGTTGGGTGAAATGGCTCAGCGTAATGTTGAATGGTACAGCATACACACAAATGGTGTAGCGTTACGTCGAATAGCTTTGCAGGACATCAGGCGCTCTAGCTGAGCATTAAATTGCTAAGCACTACATGAAATATTTCGATATTGTGGCGAATCGTCGAGCTTGCTTGTGGCGTGACGAGATGGCTATCTCGCCAAAACCACCAAAAGTACAAACCGCAAATGGAACAGCGATCTGCTGGGGGAGCATGACGTCATCGAATGTAAAGATTAGTGCGAAACTATCACATGGTGTAGTCGCTGTGTTGAAGAGTCTTCACTTCGCCTTGCCGTAAAGCAGAGCCAATTCGTAACTTTTCGGTTAGCTTAAATGTTTTATAGTATTATGTGGTATTATGACGTGCACTAAATGTCGATTGTCGAGCTCTCTTTCCTTTTCTGACTCGCGCTTACTTTTTAATAAGACTTTAACTTCAACAACTCTTTGAACATTGCAGGAGTACGTGAGAGGTTGGATTTTGTGTGTGCCCTTGTGTGCAGAGTTGGACGCCACGGTAAAAAAACTGATATCCTTGATCTTTTTTGACATTTTTCTATCAAAGTGATATCGGAATGCTTTAATTGGTGGGCCGGTATGTGTGCGTGCTAAACCAACTCGGAAAAAGTATTGCTTTGGCAAACACTATTTTTGGGACTCACAAAGATGCATGTAGAAAAAACCTTTAACTGTTTCCGGTCCAGACATGTAATCGACGTTTGATCGAGAAAATAAAAATAGAATTTACTTTTACTATCACTGCACCTGGGAAAAAAACAAATAAATAAAGTAATATAATGTACACCTCTTTAAAATAATAAATATAAACAGTCATCCCATGGCTTGCTCTTATCGTCCGGCACACCAATTAAAGCATTCTGATATCACTTTGATTGGAAAATGTCAAAACAGAGAAAGGCTTTCAGTTTTCCTTTTATAATACTACTTAACACTATAAAACATTTAAGCTAACCGACGCCTGCAAACTGTGGTAAACCGGGAGGCCGGCAAACCGTGGTTGAATTCAGTCCCGTTGCTATTTCAATTAACGCTTTCATGAGCGACAACGAATAAATGCAAAATCGGCTGGGAAAGAAGAGGACAAACTTACGGAAAAGTTACTAATTGGCTCTACTTTACGGCAAGGCAAAGTGAAGATTTCAACACAGCGACTACACCATGTGAGAGTTTCGCGCCAATCTTTACATTCGATGACTTCGTGTCCCCATTGCTGTCTAAACTAAGGCGTTATTGTTCGCAAACAAGTAACTTGTGAAATCGCCGGATGTTTCATGAAGTTGACGATATCATCCTCAAAGACTATCATTCCGAGACTGGATAGCGCTGACAACGAATTACACCCTTTCTTTTCATAAGAACATCTTAGTTTGAAGCTGAAACTGAACGTTCTTATTCATTTTTTTCTACCGTTCTTAACATTTTCTTAAAGTTGTGGGGCATAGTATTTCAATAAATTTATTCGGACGTGAGTAAATTGTCCTGTTAGACCACGGTTTTACATTTCCTTTACCTTTATTAATTTATACTTCTCACACACAAACACAAAAAAAAGAAAAATAGAGACGTTCTTAACTGACTCTCAGTCTGAGTATGTTCTCAATATGTTCTTGAAATTTTGATTAATCTCAGTCTGAACGTTGTCTGAAAAGTCTCAGTCTGAAAAGTTATTCAAGGAACCTGGGTTTATGCTTGTGCATGCTAGATGTTCAAGCAAGTACATATCTGAAGTAATGATTAGAGGCATATATACTACACTGCACTTGTGCAATTAAAACATGTCTTGAGAGAGAAGAGAATATTGATATTAATAATCATTGTTCCTAAACAAATCATAATTTATCTAACTTACTTTCTGAGATGGTTTAGGATCTGGAAGAAAATGGATCATTTCCCGCATTTTTTCAAAGAGTACTTATGCGCTGAAACAAAGGAAATAAAAAGGAAAGCTTTTGTCACAATCTCGACTAAATGAATAAAAACTTTTCTTTTTGGCAAATTATCTGTTTCTGCTAAAAATATCTGAAATAAAGTATTTTGTGTAATGGTTATTGAGGATTTGGATGACAATTAAACTTCTACAGATAATTTTGAGTAAAACTTTTAGTCAAGGTAACTTTTGAGAAAAACTTTTGGCCAAGGTAACTTTTGTTAAAGCAGAATAAGTTAAGCCCTGGCTTTTTATTTCAAGAAACTCTAAACAGCATTCCTATACTGGCAGTATGCAGGAAGTTTGTCATCATGGACCAGTTTACAGCCTACCGTACCACTAGTCTCCTACAACTCAGCAGTAAAGCATGCGACATACTCGTAGGTTTGAATCCTATTGAGAGCACTTGGAGTTCTTTTTCTCCGAGGATGCCTGTATCATTCATTGAATGACATCTTCTTTCAATTTGTTTTGATATTCCACTTTATGGCCCGCATCGATCTTTCCCGTCGTTTTCTGAAGTTATAAAACAGACTTATTCCAAAATTGTTGCCTGTTTATGAAAATTCTTGCAACTCAAGAGTTCATTACATTGAGGAAAAATCGAGTAATGGATCGATAATGATCAGCGCGAGTGGCTAAAAACTACCTTTGTGTATTTTTGGTGACTTGATCAACTAAGGCAAACAAAAGAAGAGTGAAATAAATTGAACAAGATAAAAGCGATGGAAATATTCCTTACAGCGTACCCTTTTTAGTACTCCTTCAGCGTACTCCTTCAGCGTACTCCTTCAGCGTACTCCTTCAGCGTACTCCTTCTGTTCCCTACAGCGTACTCCTCACAGCGCACTTCCTTCAAAGTGGCTCCAGTTGGGAACACAAAGTCAGAACTTCAATAGCAACATGGTCTGGAGAAAACTGAACCTCCCAGAGTGACTCATAAAGGCGGACCTCAACTGCAGGATGCAAGGTGAATTTGCTAGTGTGGTTATTACTTATAACAGGGCGAGGACTCCGTAGACTTCATAATAAAAGGACAACACGCACAAACCTTTGAATGAAGGGTTGTAGGCAAGAGGCGCACACAATGGCCCAGGAAGAAGGGCTCGCTCTAAATTAATTTTTCGAATTATTTCAATCCTTTTCGGTGTTGGATTATCTGTGCATGAAATCTGTATAGAATCTTCCTGCAGAGGACGCCATGACAGCTGTTTAGATAGATAGATCATATAGGATTCACCAATCATCGTACGTGCGGTATTATTTCGACGTGCCGCTGACCAATATTAGTTAGTAGGGGTAGAGAGAGAGGGGGAGGGCCCCATTCGCGGATTTGCTTGGTGGGGCGACGGGAAAAGCTGGAGGGGGAGAAGGCGGGGGGGGGTTCCTGCTTCGTTGAAAAACGATTCTTGTTTCATGATTGTCCTCTGGCTGGAAATAAACGGCGACTTTTTGAGATTTTTTTCTAATATTAATCCAGTAACTTATGCTGTAACTGCATATAATGTGGATGTCTTTAAGAAAACTTGAGATAATACCTGAATTTAATTTGTTCATCACAGAAATCAATTCGAAACATCAATCAAGGTTCTCTTTAGTTTAAAAGTTGAGTTGATGTCGTTATTGGCTATATTATTATCATGTTTGCAAATAATTGAATTTACTGGAAGATGAAAAACAATCATGAAACATGAAACATGAAACGCAACAATAAATGTTATTGATATGTAAAAAGTTTCTTTTTGACTATCTACTACAACCCAACCATTTTCCACAACTTGTAAACACTATCACAAAATAGTTAGTAAGGGAAATGGGAAATTTGTGGCATATACACCATGTTTGAAATGCCATGTCCATAATGAGCTTACAGGATTGAGGAGGGTGTATGCGGGAATAGGCTCTCTTGTCTGCATCATTAATTTTCTTATTACTCCTGTTGGCATGCAATGTTTTGATGAGGTTGGGCTGTCAGGGTAAAGGAACTGATGATTTTAGCAGGCAGCAACTTTTTTCAAACCTGGAAACTATCGTTGTGGAAACCATACCTGTGCCTGGTAACTCATTCTTATTCTGATAAACTAGTTTCAAGAAGGATGCAATGTTCTATCACACAAATTTGATGCATAGGCTGTGCACAAAACTTTAATTTGACTTAAATTTTATACCCAATACCGATACCAATCCCTACCCATAATAAAATGTTAGTAGGATCAGAGGAAAAAATAATGTGCCATACATCTGCAAGATTTCAAGTAATTATTTTAATTACATGAACACCTGATACAAAAGACGAAAGTGAAAACTGAAAATATTAGAACAAAACAGCAGATAAATACATAACCTCTTTGTTGGGGGATAAGAAAAATCCACACAAGGATATATTTCATGCATGTAACAAATCATTTTACATAACTCCTCGTTTCCCAAAGATGAGTACTTTGCTGGACCCGATGAAGAGACATCATCGCCACAATTAAACGGCAAAGATATCGAATTCCTCTTAACATAAAGTTAAACTAACGTCAGAACTGCTTGGCTATTGAACGACGATGGCGTTTTAGACGGAGGTTCTGATTGGTTTAAAGGTATTTGGGCAAATTCTGGAATAGAAGACCTAACAATCCAAAATTAACCTTCATTTTAAATACTTTAAACGAGTCTACGAAGATAGAGAAAATATATATGAAATTTTTTTACTGTTGTGAAGAATTGCTATTGAGATGAGGAACCGTTCCTTATGGCTTACGGGCACAGAATTACTTCGAAAATTTCCCGCCCTATTCGATTTCTTCCACTCCTCCCGAAATGTAGAATTATTTCTAGTTATTCTTAGGGCAGAGCCAGAGATATTAGAAGAGGCGAGAAGCGGAAACACGTCTGCGTTCGAAAACTTCCCGGGTTGATGCTTTAAAATTTATTTTCTGTTATGCTTACGGAGTTTTGTAGCCGTTTTAGTAAAATCTGATTTCAAACTTCCAGTTTATTTTCTAGTTGCACGATCATCGTCTGGAACGCGAATAACCGAGCTTTCAGCGAGGCAACGACCTGCGGGTCTGTTCATAATTATTGATTAACTCCAAGGTTATCAGCTTCTTAAATTTTAAGCAATGGAATAATTTTTTCTCGTATTTAAATAGTCTCAACAGTAGGGACAACTCGAGAAAATGCTGGTGGTTTGCATAATTTTAGAGAATTCTACCATCCCTAACTCCCAACAAGTGTTTTGATGAAGCTTAAGTCCATTATTGCTCTTCTAAGATATTTCTGGGGTATAATTATACACACAGACGGCGTATTTTCACAATCGTGTTACCCTCATCTAAACACTCCTACCGACCAATGAGAGCACGCTACTATCTTAAACGTTCTCTTAGAAGGATAATCAAACAAACAACCGTCCAAACCGAAAAAAGGACTTATTATACGACTGAAAGATTCATCCGCTGAATGGCAAGTCACACTGGAAAACAGAAACAACGAACCAGTTTACTCAGTAGCAACAAATGGTCTTTTTTCTGAGCTCCACTTTTTGTATTAAGCGTACTAAAGTCCCTCTGTTGCTGTAGACATTATGGTAATTTATGCGATGCTGGGCGGAATAGTTCAGGGTTAAAATGTTTGGGGAAGCTGTGGGCGTCACAACTCAAATCCACTCAATAAATATCCATATCAGACCTAATAGTATCTGTACATATGAGATGCTCGTGTTAGAAGAATTACTCTCTAACACTTGGTTGAATTTCCTTTATTTCCTGGTTGAGCTCCTAGTACAATTCTTACTCTCAGGGACTAGCCCAGTATTGATCTTATTTACCGCAGTTCAACTTATAAGTCCACGCTGTTCTGTTTTGCTATATTCTCTGATTGAAAGATGCTGTGCACCAGCTTATAAAGGTGACACCAAAGATGACACTTCTAAGCTGTCAATCTTCTTACATCGCGATCGCTCCGTTTCAGCCAGCGTCACGTTAGAGTACGTACGACAGTTCCTGCATACTAAGTATGCGCCTTCGAATTTTTTACGCAATCACAAAATCATCTTCTACCTTAAATTTCTTAATTTTACAGTTAAGATCGGCCAGAACAAAGACAAGATTGATGATGTAAAAATTGTAATTAACCTATTGGCAGAATTGAAATTACGCTTGAAAAGATATTTTACGAGAAAATAGCCTAGAAAATAGGATTGTTAAATAACAACAGAGTAAACAGAAATTCGGAGAAGAAGGAGTGTACCCAAGGTACCGCCCCTAAGAAACCTACGTGCTATTCGCATAAGTTATATAATTACAAATTCAATGCGGAGATGAAAAAGCATAAGCTATTTACAATCAGAGTGACCTTTAAGAAGAGGTGTTGAAGGTGTTAATTTAAAGTTTAAGACATATTCTGGAATCGTGAATTTGACTTAAAATTTAGACCAAAAAAAACCAGTCTGAAAGTAATCAATAGTATAAGAAGCAGGAGTTTCCAGGAATTCCTGTGCGAGGTTAACTTTTACCAGAGAGATTTACAACTAGAAAATTGACATAGTTAAAAACATAGCTTATTACAAAATAGTATAACAAGATCTAATCATCGTAGAAACGGAGCAACTGTTTCCGTACCAAATTCACAACCGCAATAAGAAAAAGGAGAAAGAAATTGTACTTAGATGAGACCACCAAAAGGAATAAGAAATAATCAACCTGTCTTGTAATAATTTTTGTATCGAATAGCTTAAAGTAATATAATATTTCCATTCTTTTTCCCAACACCAATATAAGGAAACCCTTACAATATTTCAGATTAAATATAGTTCTATTTTTATCGTTTAACACTCGTGAACTTTGTAAAACTCATCTAAGACTCACTTGCAGGTTCGCCGTTACGAAATAAGAAGCGCTTGTGGGGGGGAGGGGAGTTGCACATTTTTTTACGCACCATTTAAGCTTCGATTCTCTCTTTAGTCTGTAAACCATCATTCCCACGCCTTACTAACACACCCTAGCAATAATTTGACATGACAAATAATGATAAACGGAGCTTCTCAAGCCCCTCAGACACGCAAATCCGATGTCACTGAGTCACCCGACTTTTTCCTATAAACCTCGCAAGTATATCGGTTAGGATGTATGAGTTATGAGCTAAATTTTAAAGAATTTTGCCAAACGTGATCAAATCGAATTTTTCTTGCGAGTTTCAATTTCCCGACTTCTTTCCTGGAATTCTCCGGCCGCTGGAATGAGTATCCAAGAAGGTCACTGAATCGATTTTGTAACTTTAATGAACAGTCACAGGTTTCACAAGGTCTTTGCACGATCACGGTCAAAGGCTAACTTTGCTTCAGATTGACGACTAATTGGGTGTGCCCTTTCCGGTTAATTGACATATTTCCGTAGCCAAAGATTACATAATAGCGTAATGTGTGCCCCAGTCCCCGATACCTCAATCCCTGCGGATCTCGAAACCAATACGCTTTCTTGAGCTAATGACAACAATATATTTTTAATCATTCTTAGAAGACAGAAATAAAGAACTGAACAAGCATAGACAGCATGCTTGCGCTAGAAAATTATATTAGTCATGATGTTGTAAGCGTCACTGAAAGTAATGTCAACCGTTTTTTGTACTCGTTAATTATGCAATAACTAAATGCATCCAGTGATTTCTAAATTTAGCTCGCACGGTCGTGCTGCAGGAAGCCTACTTACATTTATTTACCGACCTTTTAAAGACTTCTAAAGGAGAATAAGGACACGTGAAATTATGTGATCGCGCGCCTAAAGTTCATTGTTGTTCAAATTTCTAGTTACGAAACCTTTAGGAGAAAAATTTGTTGTTTTGAAAGAGTTATTTTGATTAAGATTATTAACACGCCAGTCATCACGTGGTGGCATTTAAGGCAAGGGTAAGCAGGTCTAGTAAGCTTCTCTCGCTTTATCTAAAGTCCATTTCCTGCAGATTTAAAGTAAACTGAAAATCAGTGACCGATCAGGCGAGTACTGCGTGTTAAAATTCCCCAAACTGCCCGTTTTGCCAAGCATCTAATCAAGAAAATAATTCTCCTCGAGTTCCACAGTGGAATTTTACCGTCAAAGTATTTCGCTGAGGCAGGCTATAGTACATTTTTGCATCAAGTTACAAACTAGTGACAAGATCTTTAGAGTGAAGTACAACACGGTTAGTTGCAAGTTTATGAATTTATAGCTTGTACTTCACATCTTTGGCCACTTATGCGTTTTTTTGGTAAAGTAATTTGACAAAAGAGTGTTCATTTAATACAAGGATTTTCAGGAACTATCTCTTTTTACTAAACTTGATAGAGATAGAGTTAACTTGCCATTTAGCGGTTGAATCTTTCAGTCGTATAATAAGTCCTTTCTTTTGTTAGGACGGTTGTATATTGAATATTGGCCGAGCCATTAAGGAAACTAAACGAATTAATAGAATCAATGCAATAAAATAAAGTGACTCCCTCAATTTAAACTGATCGTAATCATTTCCTTTCTAAGAGGATATTTAAGATAGTAGCGTGCTCTCATTGGTCGGTAGGTGTGTTTAGATAAGCCTAGTAACACGGTTGTGACGTTACACCTTCTGTGTTTATAATTATATTTGAGAAATATTTTTGAAAAGGAATAACTCGCTTTTCCCGAGTCAACTTAACCTCGTCAAAACACTCTCGTTGGGAGTTCGTAGGTTGCTACCTCGCTAAAAGCTCGGTTATTCGTGTTCCAAACGATGATCAACGAGAAAGTAAACATGAAGTCTGTAGTATAAGCAGATTTTGCTAAAACGGCTTCAATACTCCTTAAGCAAAAATAAAGCAAATCGCAAATTTTTTGTTAGTCTTTAAAAAAATTTACTCGTGCTTATTTATTCCAAATTGCACTCGAAATCATGTGATTACCTATACAAAGACTTCAAAATATTCCTGGCTGTTTGCAAAACAGCTGATCACAGTGTGTTTCTATTTTTTACAATAGGCCATTTTTGATATATTAAAATTTGAACATGGTTCCGAGGCTAAAGGGAACCGGAATAAAACAAAATAAATTAATTTTTTATCCCTCAACCTCGATGTAATTTCCTTTGTTTTATTCCCCCAGGCCTCGGAGCCATGTTTGAATTTTAATATATTCCAATCCGATATCCAGGGAACCCAGGGTTGTTACTTCTTTCCATTCCAGATTTTGCTCAGACACCCTACGACCAATCAGAATCTCTGTCTAAGAAGCCAATATTATTTGATAGCCAATTGTTTCTCGTCTTAGTTCAACATAATATCGACAGGAAGTTGATCAGACTTCTCGTGAGATGTGGCGGTGATGCTTTCATCGGGTTCAATAAAGTACTCATCTTTGGGGAAACCAGGACTTCTCTGAAATTATTGGCTATTTGAAATTTATCTTTGCATGGATTTTTCTTATTCCCCAACCAACAGGTAATGTATTTATCTAGGATTTTGTACTGCAATTTTTAGTGTTTACCTTCTTCTTTCGATCGTATCAGAACTCTCGATAGCGTCACCTTATGATGCACTCTATTTAGATGGTTTTTTTATATTGACAGCAACAGATTGTGGTGCCTTTTTGAACGTATACGGTGTTTTAATTCAAATTAATGGGAAGCTCTTCTTGTTTCTATAAAATCGAAAGCATGAATTTGAATGTTGTAATTTAAAATATTTTCCTTCAGATGGCGGAAGTGTCACATGGTTTGAACCTTCTCCAGTTAGGACAACATCAAATACAGCTGAAGTGCTCCCTCCTGGCATTGTACTCGTTTATGAAGGATCTTCTGCCACACTGAACTGGAACTTCAGTCTGTCAGTAGGTCTAGGTCTTGGTTTTGTCATAAAATTCAACAGTATTGGTATAGTCATCATTAGAGCAGATGGTTCATCAGGTCCTATTAGAGCTGAATTTCAGAAACGGTTCAGCGTAAGCGCGACTTCACAAAGTACTTCTCTGTCAATCTTTCCCATCACTATTGCTGACGATAAGTCTAATGGAGAATTTAGCTGTGAGTTAAATGATGCCAACGCTGACACTTGGAAACGAGTAATTCAGGTGCAAGTCATAGGTAAGCTTGAAAGTGTTGCTGCATGACTATAATATAGGCGTACCCAATCTGTACTGTTATCTGGGTCTTGATTAAGTGCAGTTTGAACTTGGACAATTTCAATTCTTAGCAAAAAAAAATTCTACATTTATTTATTTGTTGGAAACTGCAGTTAAAATAATAATGTTTAGGTTAAGCTGACAAAAGAACTGAGAAAAATTTAGTAGCCATCTAAAGGTCCACTGAATTTCATAAGGCAGACATTTCTGTGTTATATTAAAGCACTTGTAATGGATTATAATCCAGGGCCTGTTCTTTTATAATTTGCACTATCATAAAGTGTAAATTTCATTTGTATGTGCAAGGTTTGTGAAGAACATTTAAGTCACATGTTAAGAGCATTATCACTTGCATGTTGCTTATATGTGTACATGCCACTCAAGCTTGTGATTGTTTGATTGCTCTTAGTTCCAATAAATATCACGGGGATTAGAGGTGAACCAACTGTTCTTGATGGTGACAACTTGCAGTTAATCTGTGAAGCATGGAGTCAAATAGAACCAAACATCACTTGGACCAAAGAGAAGCCTGGGAACCAGGGAAATACTGTTGTGGTGCAAGAAGGAAAGGTGCTGACTATAATAAACATCAGCAGGATTGATGCAGGAAATTATACCTGTACAGCATACAATGGCTTTGGTAAACCAGAGAGCCGAACAGTTTATGCAAATGTTACTTGTGAGTACACATTGAAAAAAACATTGACTAATGTTGAACAGAGATGCACTTTCCTTCAATCTATATTTTCTGTGCTATAATGTGTGATGTCAATTACATGTATTAATGTTTGGCTAAGTACATCCATGCTGGGCTCCAAGCTCAATTTTTCAAAAAATTGCCCTTGGTGACCTTCAATTGTAAAATAATCAACATAAAACAACCAAAAAAAACTCACATCAATGGTAGTATATTTTGTGCAGCACTACACAAGTTATTTTAAGTGAGTCAAATGACACAACGCTTTCATTTGTGAACTTGGTATGTTCATTCCCTTGCTGATTAAAAGATTGTAATAATGGCCAAGAGAGTGAGAATAAAGAAACTCTGATTTCTGGAAGCAGAAACGATTTACCACAAAGTTGCCGAGACCCTAAGTAACAAATCATGTTTAATGCAATTTTGGTCTGTTGCTCAGCTGAGAAACATCTCTTGTTTGTAGTGAGCTGATATAATGCAGGTATTAAAGCCTTCAATAATGTGAATAACATCTTTAATCACTCTGGCCAATTTCTAAAATTGAAGGTTAGGTTAGGTGGCATTGAAGGCTACTTTTCTCTTCTTTGGAACTGGCCCTCCATCAATTATTTTACTATTCACAACTTTATATATATATGTGTATATAATTAAATACAATAATTCATAATTAATTTAATTCATTGATAATTTATTCAAGGATCAATATATTTGTCATGTTTTTCCCTTTCTCTTTTTTTATTCTGTTGGTGCCAATTGACAACTTTTGTTGAAATTTTAGTTGCGAAATATATTTTTCACTCACCATGGGGACCAAAATGGTCACAGCTTGAAGCACTGCCATGTTCTGGGAGGTGTTCACCTACCCCTGTAAATGTAAACTCCTCTCAAAATTAAGATTAAATGTTGTGTGAGGAGACTCTAGTGCTCCACTGTCAGTGTTAGCAAATATGTTCAATTGATGCTGATTTGAAAATCTTTAATAATCCAGTTCAACACACATGGCAAGATGTCAGCTCAAAGATTTGAAATATCTCCTCAATAGTTTTTTGAGTGTCAACCTGAAAAAGTTCTCTGGGATCAATACCAGTATCTGAGCAACTGTCCACCTACCCCTCCCCTAACCCAACATTAACCCTAACTTGTTATCAATTGACTGTTGTTGAGTTAGGGGAGGGGTTGGTGGGCAGTTGCCTAGATACTGATATTGATCCGTTCTCTGTTTAATTATTGGATACTATGAAACTTTGGTTACCAGTATCTCATTTAATATGCATCTATGAATGGCGAGAAGATCACCCAGTTAACATCTAGAGAATAGTAATTTCATTGAAACCACACCATAGAAATTAGGTAATCAGACTAGGTAAAAAATACCCTCTTGTATTTGAGTGTACTGGTAGGGTTGGACCCCTTACAGTAGCTATATATTGAAGACAAGTCATGCAGATGTACCTTTGTGCAGATGCTTTTTTTTAATCTGAATTTTTGTTTTCCAATTTGATGTACAGATCCACCAAAGATTGTTGATTTTCAACCTGAGTATGTGGTTGGTGTACAACAAAGTCTAACTCTTAACTGTGAAGCGGAAGGAAACCCTCCTCCTTCCTACACTTGGACTCCATGTGACCCAGAACAAGTTTGTGACAAGAACACTCTGGATATTTCACAACTTCTTAATGATGTCAACTATACCTGCAGAGTGGTCAATGTATATGGAAATGATTCAAAAACTGCCAATGTTTGTAAGTCACATAAACATTGTAGTCATGTATCTAACAGCTGTATCTTCGTACAAGACTACCAACATGATTGGGTTTTTCGAGTTGAACCAGGGGCTTAGCCTGCCAGGTTATAAAAGCCCAAATAGTGCCTTTACTTTGTCTTGATGGATACTTTCTGTTTTCTTAAATAATTACAATGTACATGTAATACATTGATTATGCTATTACATATAAAATGCAAAGGAAGCCATATGGTAATTAAACTTCAGGTGGCTTATACAGGAGCTGGAGGTGAGTATCAAAAGAAGGGAAAAAAACTATGGTCAGGGCTTCTGACAAGGTACAGGAAAAATAGTAATTGTGTAGGAGCTTTTGGGGGAAAATTGAGATGAGGCTTTAGTTCTTTCATCTTTTGGTCATTGTAAGCTGAATTACTCAGGACCTACATATTTAACTGAAAGCAACAGACATCTTAATTGTCTCTGAGGTTAAATAACCTTAGAACAGTCCTAAATGTTTTGCAAAATCCTAGTTTTCAACAGAATTAACCTGTATCAATAAAAATATTCAGTACACCTTGTAGTAATGATTTGTCTCCTACTTCACAGACATTGGAGGAAATGTGATTAACACAACTGTTGTCATCACAAGTGAAATATGTATAGAAGGAAAATTCAAGCAATCCTCATTACTGGAGAAATTAAAAGAACCAGTAAGTTAATGTACATATAACTTGGATATTGCTGGCAAAGCTATTAAATAAACATATCCTAGTTCACATTGGGTGATTTTTAAGACAAATAAGTGAAATGCTTACTTGCAGCTTCTGGAGGCTTTTACTGGTAAACCTGGATATGAAGGAGTGAAGTTGATAGGTGTGAGGTATGTGAATGAATGGGATTTAGAAATTTTATTATTTGCTCTTTTGTTATCTGTTTTACATTTCATGTCACTCTAACTCTCAGTTAATGTCTTTCCCAAGGTGTGGAAGTCTCATTGTTGATCTTGCACTGAAATTCAACTCCACAACAAAGGAACAAGATGTTATCATAATGCTTAATGATGTTTTGAAAGATGGGAAGCTGGGAGAGTTCAGTGTTGTGGTCATAAAAAAGAAAAGACCTGATGTGGAACCAACAAGAGGAGGTGTCACATCACCATTTGATGGGTCCTATGGGGGTAAGTCCTTATAACACTTCATACAAAAGTTTTGCAAGCTGACTTATGAATGTTCTTGCACTGTACTTGGTTGTAAGCATATTTTTTTGGTGTGAATAAAATATATTATTGAAAGTTACTGTGTATAACTCAAAATTGATACTGTGGCAGGTTTATACAGAGATCTGAAAACTTGGCGTGTAATGGTAATGATAACATTGACAACCACAATCAGCCTCAGTTTGAGCACGAATGGGACAGTGTATGCATAATGTGTGCACATTTATGTTTAACTTCTGCTTTTCATCAACTTAACTTTTGATTTCAATGCAAACATGTAACAAATGGTCAGTACAGTTATTTCCCTTTTTGTTACCTAAATTCACTTTTGTTCAGTAGTTTTAGAACATGATTCGTTTACATTTTTTTTTCTGATATGGTTAACAGGAAAAAATAATGTGTGGCCCACACGAATCCAAAAAAATAGCAGCTATGCTTGTTTTCCTCATATTAATTGAGTGTATTTGTTGTAGAATCTTCAGAGCTTCCTAGTGGGATGAAAACAGGTAAAGCATTCTTTAATGACAAATGCCGAACTTTGCAATTGTCAAGCGACTAGTAATTTAATCCCATTAAGTACTCTCTAAACACCTATGACTTTAAGTTTCCTGAAAATAGAAAAAGAAAACAATTACCAGCCAACTGAATCAAGCTCTAATTTTTGAGTCCAAGGACACAATTTTGCTTGTATTACATACCTTAATACTCTTGCATCTTTCTGGTTGAGGGAACAATTTTGTAGCTTTACTTTTAATAAGCTTTAAATATTTGTAATGGTGACAGATTTCAATCATGGATTTCTTTTTTTTTCTGTTTCATTTCATCATCATGACAAACCCTGGCTGTGGAAAAAGGTGAGATCTGGTTATGCCTGACTTTATGCACAAGTTTGTGGATTAATGAGTGGGCGGCTCTATCTTGTTTTTGCTATGAATAACCAATCAAAAGTTGTAGTTTAAAAGCTTTTAAAGAGGGCAGAGTGTTTGATATATATTATCCTGTATTTCTTTCAACCTTGCATGAGCAGATTTTGTATCCCTATATTTTTCTTAACAAGAGAATAATTACACATTGCAGCCTCTTTAGTTCTATATATGTAATGAATTTTAAAACCAAAATTCATGGGAAGAAGATAAATTGAGTTCTGACTGAATTTCAAATGTTTCCTGACCATAACAGGAGTGCAGAGGTAGATTCTTTATCATAAGATCATTGAAAAAAAATTATCTGAAGCTTATCATGCATTGTAGGTACCATAGTTATCATTGTTGGTGCAGTGTTTGGATCAGTTGCTGCACTGGCTGTTGCTGGAATATTAGTTTGGTGGACTTGCAGGAAAAAGAGGCGCAACACAAATGGCACTAAAGGTAAGGTTGATAAGTACACTCTCAAATGAACACTAGTGTTGGCATCCTAGAAATATATCTTTAATATTTTTCCTTTCTTCTAGGACTAAGTTCAATGTTCAGCTCACTATCCACTGCATTATCATCTTTGCTTGAGCAATATCTATATTTTTAATAGATAACTTTTAAAACAGTGTATTGTAAACTATAATAATTTGTCTTGTTGTTATCTATTTTGTGGTTAGCTAGTGACAGTTAAAAGACCTCACATGACATTGTACGCTTTTTAAGACTCAATTTGATGTACATCAAACAGACTTTACTTTGATTGTGACAGAAAAATTTTGCTTAATGTCAATTATTTATTGTTTTGTTCTGTTTTGGTTTCATTTTTATTTTTCTGTTTTGTTTTGTTTTTTTTTTCACTACAGAGATGGTGATGAACCGAAGGTGAGATTATTCTATCAAAATGTTGCTGTCTACTTGTATCGTTCCTTTATGGTTTGGTCATCATAATTTCAACACCACACTGTTTTTCATGTGAATGTTTGCAATTGATCCAATTACCACTAACTTTAAGGCACTGACTTGCGCTGCAAGAGTGCCTTAAATACACAGTACAGTGCCATCATACACTGTTGGACAATGAATGTAATGGTTGTCACTTGTACAATAACCGAAATCTTAATGATCTGTAGAAAAGCTTAAAGAAAAAAGAACAAAAAAATAATTAAAAAAAAAAAATATATATATATATATATATATATATATATATATATGCAAGGTTGCCGCGTGTTGGTCCAGGCCAAAGTACCAGTGTTTTAGATGTCCCTTATTAGTTGAGTGATCTTCCCTCGGTGATCTCACTCTGACTCATGAATTAAGTGCTATTATTATCATTGTTATTATAAGTAATGGCAATAGGACTGAGCTGAGTCCAATTTGGTCTGTAATCCTGCGAGTGATTTAAAGGAATCAGACGACCACAGAGCAAGAGTCTGATTTTTTAATTACAAGTTAATCAAAAGTAGGACAAAATTTAAGAAACTATGCATTTTTAACTCGTGAATTGTGCGCATGTGCAGGAGCGAGTTATAGATACGATGTGGGGAATGGAATTCGCTCGCTCGCTCGCTCGCTCGCTCGCTCGCTCGATTGGTCGATTGGTCGATTCCTGTAAACTTTTTTTAGATTTTAGGCTTTTGAGTGCATTTTATGGTTTTTGGCGAGCAGTAAACAGACGAAATGGCGACCTTTGTTGCTAAGAATAGTGGTGGGGTGAAAAAGAAGCCAATGATAATCTTAAAAGAGTTTTTTTTTTTTCGTTTTAGTTTCAACAAGCGGCGCCAGCGACTGGCAGGCATGCAAGGATTCACACTGAAATAACAGAACAACCTTCGTTTTTCATAAAATTGTAATTTACAATCCTTGAACTTGAAAACAATCCGAAGATTCATTGAAAATATCACTTACTGCTAAGCGCTCGGAGTTTACAGATGTTCAAAAGCTTTTTCTGTTATAGCGTGAGATTGAGGACAAAATTGATCATTACGTTTCGTCGCGTGTGTTTTTCCTGTGTGAAGCAAGATGCCGGCGACTGACGAAATAACAAGTTAACACGAAAATCAAATAACACCTAAACAAACAATTTTAGCTACCGATTTTCAGTGAATTTTTAAAGAACAATTTTCTTTTAAGTTTCAAGACAATTTGAAGATTCAACATACATACAACGTACTAAAATGCGGAAGTTACACACCACAAAATTGATAAATAGGCCTGAAATGAAATTCTATCTTGTTATTGATTATACGTTGCCTAGCACGTGACTTAAATCTACCCAGGCGGAGATCCAAAATGACGGTGGCAGGCTTGGCTTAGTTATATCACTCAAAACTCGTTCCCGTTTGTCTCATTTGATAAAGAGGGAATCGTTAATGTTTTCATTAAGACAGTGTTGCCTTGATTTTCTAATATTAACAACGAAAGACAGTAAATTTCACTTTTCACCCACATTTACTTCCAACCTTTTCTTTTGAACCAGAAACAAAAACAATAGACGTTTAAAACACATGACATCATCCACCTTGTCAAATGTAATAGCATGATCATTTCAATTGTAATGCCTTCTTATCCCAACGTTACTTTGTTTCTTTGCTACATTAGCGAACACTGAACTACTGCTCGTACTCTAGATATGACAATCAATCACAAAATTCCCTAAACCAAATAACATTAAACATAATCTAAAAAATCATGTGTCAATTCACGAGTTTGCTCACAGAGCACTTTGATATTAGAAATAAAAACAAAACAAAAAACAATTGGTAACTTGGTGAAGTACACAACAACAGCGCATGCACATGATGCGAACTATCCAATAACTCAGTCCATTCACAAGCATGACTTTTACACTGTCCTATTAGTGCCCAAACTGGGGCTTGTGGTAACCAATCACGTTTGTGAATTTTATAGTTTTGATTGTTATTATTATTATTATTATTATTATTATTACTATTATTATCAGTCTTATTACCCTTGTCATTATCATTATTATCATTATCATTGCTCCAAAAGTATTCTCTTACAATGCTGGTGACTGTTGAGGTAGTCTTTACGGTCGACCAATTTGTTGAGCCTTCAGGGAGAAATTTTTCTTAATCTGACGATAATGCTGTTGTTGTTGACTATATATGTAGAAGGTTCGTGCGAATAAAGTCTGTTTTTCTGCGGTAGCAGAAAAACCACTCTGAGCACATGATACTTTTCTCCACTTCTTGTAACTGGGGGAAAGAAACTTTCAATGCTCGAATGCAGAGGATGTGAAACCTTCTCTGGCTATTTAAATTAAACTTCCCTTAAGACAATCACATATGAGAAGCTCAGGGCAAGTCTACTCTGCTTATATAGTCTGCCTGTAGAGGGAGGGTGCAGCTACATGTAGGCTATGACTGTAGCCGAGCCCATATCCAGTTTCCAGCTGCTATTTTCACTGAACTATGCTGTCTGGAATGTTTTTCTATTGTTTAGGATTTTTCAGTTAGAGAGAATTGGGTTGGTTGTGTAATATATTTGATTCCCTGTTTCAGAACATTTGGAAATTCAAGAAATGAAACAAAAGTAAGTGCTAATGTAGGTTGTGTGATGAAATTAATTTAATTCCTTCATGTAAAGATATGTTTTCCTGTAGTCCTAGGTGTGTTTCGTTTTTACGTTGCTCTCTTTACTAAGAGTCTTCCCACTGTGGTTTACAGTTTACCTCAATCCAGAAAGTTATATCTGGTACAGATTTTAGGACGATTATTCATTGGAATTTTTAAATAAGTCTAAGTATATAGTGGTCTATTTTTCATGAGATAGCTGGTCTGAAGATTTGAAATAGTTTCCAAGCTCGTTGGGTAGTTTTATCATCTTTTAATGAATTGGAAACAATTTTTTGTTTGAGATTGCAGTCGAATTGTCTGCTTGTAAACCTTCTCAAAGCCATTACATGGCACTGAATGACAGAACTCGTTCAGAAGTAATGGCAGATGCCAGTCCTCTCGGCACTGAACAAATCAGCGAGTACGCTTCTCTTAATCCATACACACGTTCCGGGAGACTCCAAGAGAACATGTGACGATGAAGCAGATCGTTGGAAAAGGTGCTTTTGGTCAAGTTGCCAAGGCAACAGCTGTTAACCTACATGGAAGAGCCAAGAAGACGCTCGTAGCAGTTAAAACGTTGAAAGGTACCAAGAAATAAAGTAATGTTTTACTTGGTCTTTAAACTGACTAGAGAAGTCTGTCCAATTTGTTTTGTCTTGTTTTATATTGTTTTATTTTGATTTTAATTATATGCTTCTGCATAATTTCCAAGCTCCTGTTTAGAGAAATCACATTCTATAATCACATTATATATGACTATGCCACAGTTACGTCCATAGGTTGAAGCTTGTTCTACTTGATGTAGTGATGAAATTTTAAGATGTAATGTAAAAATATTCCTCCTTGAATGATGGTTGCACTTTAGAGCTTCGGCGCTTTACGTTGACCAAGAAAAACACACTAAATATGACGTATGGTAGAATCGATTGATATCTATTAATCTTTCCACATATACATATATATATATATATATATGTGGGGGTAGAGTCTAGCTTGGCATATATATATATATATATATATTCATCTATCTATGTATTTGTCTGCCTGTCTATCTGCGTGTCTGTCTGTCTGTCTGTCTGTCAATCTATCTATCCATCCGTCTCTCTATCTGTCTATCTATCTATTGATTTATCCATCTGTTTTCGTTTACCTATATAACGTTACAGTTGAATGATATGATTGTGATTCATTTGGAATGTTATTCGACGATTATTGATCGGAAATCCTGTTGCAGAAAACGCTTCTGAATCAGAGAGAAAGGATTTGCTGTCTGAACTTGAATTGATGAAACAACTTAAACCTCATCCTTATGTTATCAAACTCCTGGGATGCGTTACCAAGTCCGGTAAATACTGAAATGTTTATCATGTTTACCAAAATTAGGTTTTAAAATATAGATAAGTATCGTTTTTCTCGGTATGTTGGTGTTTGAGCGTAAGATATATTTCCTCTTAATTTATATAGTATATTGTAATGATTTGATGTGGTGCCCGGAGCTCTTATTTACTTTTGGTGGGCAACAGGAGGGTGCTTATTTGAAACAGGGCGGTAGTTAGGGACATATAAGAACCAGCAGAAAGTGCGAAACATAGCTTTGATGTTTATTTGAAAAGGAAAACGGGCTTGTTGCCTCTGCATCCTTCCTGGAGAGAACGAAGAGCCAAGCAGACGCGGCAAACAGTTCATTTGTTGAAGGGACTGTGCACTCACATGTACATAATAGTTGGGAGACTGAGACTAAGGCCACGCTTTTTGTACTGAGGCTACATGTGAAAAATGAACGAAGATGTACCACGGTTGATCTCAATGTACATTTACTTTAACAATGTTATCACCGAAACAGATTAGGGGCGCTCATTGGAATGAGACTGCTAACCCAAAAGGGGCGCTTATTAGAACAAGGACGCTTATTAAGAAAAAAACAAATTCGAGGGGGGCGCTTATTGAGTACAGTACTCAACATTTTACTCTTTAAAAGGGTATCAAGTCGTTTCTTACGCACGGTAGTTTCTTACCGAGCCGTTTCGTACCCAAATTTAGTCCATTCATACCCAGTTTGATTCGGATTGTACCAGAAATGCTTCACGTGTGAGTACATGAACAGATCTCCGTTGTACGACTTTTTCCGCGTACGACAGGCAAGTGGAGTTAGGTGAATAAGATTCAAGCAAAATTCTGTTGTGTGTACTTGTGACCTCCTCGAGAGAAACAACTAGATACTAGGTATTTTTTAAAAAGAACAAGTCTATTGTTTGCAGTTGTGACTTTGTTATCAACAACAACCAGTGTAATTTTTTGCCTCCCCTTTTTATTAAAGGTAAAAATTCACTTATTCTAACAAAGGAAAACAAACAACATTCGCCAGTCGCGTAAATTAAAATGGACGTAACAGAAAAAAAACTTATTTAACGCAGGGAATATTGCTATTCAAAATAAAAGACCGACCTTTCTTTAAAAATACTTAAGATATAAAACATACTTTATTACTTTTGGTTCGAAACAACCCAACTAACCGGGTACGAATTGACCTGGCTGGGTACGAAACGACTGGTAACCTATTAAAGCGATCTTCGGGTAAAAATAGAGTACGAGTATTCCATCCTTTTTCGGCGAAGTAAAAGAAATCAGCGGAAACAAAACTGACACTGGAAGTGATGGGTACGAACAGTAGAGACCATACTTTTCGTGTGCCTCACATTCAGAGGTCCCCATGGTACTCCTAGTCTAAGCCTAAGTAACTGTCTTGAAATCGATTCTTAGAGTGTCACTGTTAGGATATCTTATCGAACAGATCGATCGCTCAGCGCGCCGTTGATCTTGAGGGAGCCTTTGTTGAAGGATATAGTCCATTTACCTCGCCCCATTACTCCATTACCTTTTTTTTTCCATTCCTGCTAACTTTTGGGAAAATTCGCTGACCGACGCTTACAGTTTGGGCATATTCTATTCTTGCGTACACGTGTGAGGTCTCCATAGAGTTTATTTGACGGCAGAGAAGTAGGCACACTTTTATACTGTCTGCTAAATAGCATCGCATGTATAATCAGTAAATGAGATTTAAGATCACTAAAATCTATTGGGGATCAAAAATGGGCTGAGACTAAAACTGCCTTCTTAAGTTTCACGCACATTTTGCGGATGTGGGCCGGTAAGATGTGAATACGCTACGAGGGCGAGAATCTTTCCGGTAGTAGACCGTGAATATAAAACATGACCTGCCTTAAATAAAATTTTAATACGATGTCATTGCAGTGGAATCGACTTATGGTTACATTGCTTTTAAAAAGATTTACAACAATTGTGAATATAAACGAATCGTAAGGTAGTTAATACTTCATTTTCTCATAAACGTTGAATAAACGTCGTACTCTTCCAAGTAACTGTGGCTTATATTGGAGAGTGACGTTTCTTTGTAATTTTGCTTCCATCTGCGGCATGTAATCGAGTATTTGCGGAACTTTGTTTGTCTCCCTAGAGCCATTGTTGGTGTTGATCGAATATGTTCCGTTTGGGGATCTGCTGGGTTACCTGAGAAAGAGCCGTGGATTAAATGATACTTACTACAAAGACCCGGATATCAAACCACAAACAAACCTGACCTCACAGCAGCTGATAAAGTTTGCTTGGCAAATCGCTGATGGAATGTCGTATTTGTCATCGATACCAGTGAGTGATGTAATTATTCTTTGAGAAACATCCTTACAGAATACGGCCTTATTTGTCTCCCAATATACCTCACTTTCTGTTGAATTGTGGAATCGTTGCCTAGGATGTCATCCCATGTCACTGAGTCACCCTTAAGCCTCTCGTTTCGCTAAAGGTTGTTTTCCAAAAGAAACACTTTCTCTTTGTTTAAGGTTATTCATAGAGATCTTGCAGCTCGTAATGTGTTGGTTGGAGAAGGGGAAACGTGCAAAGTGACGGACTTTGGAATGGCCAGAGATGTGCAAGAGGACAACATTTACGAAAAAAAAACTAGGGTATGAATGATTTTGAGAAAAAACAATGTTCTCGTAAGCCTTGGATTGTTGGGGTGAAGATGCCTCTCTGGATTGACTGCTCAAAGAAAACAAGCTCAGTAAATCCTGCTCCGTTTTCCGGAACTTTCGTTTCAGTGTTGTTGCCATTGGGAGCGTTAGTACTTTTTAAGGACTACGCCAACTCCTTACATTTTTGCTTCTTATTCAGGGGCGTCTCCCTGTAAAATGGACTGCCATTGAGGCGTTGCTTTACGGAAAATATACTACCAGGAGTGATGTGTGAGTACAAGGAAGATATGAACACTGCACTAAGCTTAATGAGAATGGTTTTGTATGAACTGTTTTCAGGTCTGCAAAAAGTTATTTGGTTACTTTTGTATTTTGGTCTTTTTACTTTGCTGGTGTGAGGTCATCTCAGTGAGGAGTGGTTATCCTCATTTTTTATGGGTAGTGATCAGGGATCAACTCCTCTGACACTGCGCATGTGTACCTCCCCACCCCATGTCCCCTTCCCTTCACCACCAAAGATGTTTTAATTACATTTTTGTAGGGAAGAAATTTTACTTCCTTAAATGTATCCCGTTTGTTTTACAGGTGGAGCTACGGGATTCTCCTCTATGAGATATTCACGATTGGTAAGTTACATGGCAGATTACCAGTCCAGTAATTTTAGCTTCAGCAATTGGGTGGACACGAAGTCGTGAAGTAAGCAGGGTTTACCAGTCTCTTTATAATTAGTTTTCGGTCATACAAAACCAGTTTAGATAGCCAAAGTCGCTGGCCTTAGGCGGAAAAAATTATTAATGAATATACATCTGTAGAGCTTTTCATTTTAGAGTAAGTTAACATTACCTGCTCTATTCAGGTGGTTCACCGTATCCAAGGATGGATGGAAGAAAAATTGCAAACTTACTTCAAGAGGGATACAGAATGCCTAAACCACAACACGTAGATGATAAGTTGTATGATAATATCGTGTTTTTACTGTTTAATGATGGCTTTTCTCGTATGTTAGTATTTGTGCCGCTTTTTGTTTTTTCTAGGGATAGGTCGAACCGTTTCTAATTAAACTATTTTTGGACGTCCTTTTAGGTATGACATAATGATAAAATGTTGGAAAGACGACCCTAATTTGAGACCATCTTTTGAGAAGTTGAGGAACAAACTCAAAGAAATGGAAAACCGGCACAAGGTAGAATAGAAAATTTTACAAAGAGACTCTTTGTGTTCTTTTTTTTCCTTTTCAAGGTTTGATTGTTAGAATCTACCACCATCAACTAAACTTGATAATGGTGTCACCATGAAGGCTTCGAAATGTAGTTTATGGTTTCAATATATTTCGCTTTTACAGCAATTTTTAATTGAGTTTCGAAAGTGGAAAGCGAACGTGAAATCCTAAACTAATCCCAGCCTAATCACAAACGTTTTTCCGCGCTTAAAGGAGGTTGCCTGATTCTACTTTGAGTTCTATTGGTTAAGGTTGATGCTAACCTTTGTTCTGATTGATAGTTGTGAATACTTTGGGCTTAGTTTTTCAAGGGTTAGGTTTAGGGTTAGTTGTTTTTCAAGGGTTTTTTTAGGGTTAGTTGGTTTTTCGACAATCAATCTAAGACTTCTATATCCAAAATTAACTGTATCAGCAATATACTCTCTTTCTAGGTAAAAATTTGAAGAAACCCTCGAAAGCTTAACAGAGTATAATATAATTTATACCCATTTTTCATGTTTTTTCGTATATCTATTTTTTTTACAGGGACTGATAAACTTAAAAAATTACGATGATCGACTCTACGTTAATGTCGACGATCTTGCGGTGTGAGCGAGTGATTTCTCCTACCGGAAGGGATGGAGTTATTGACATTGCAGCGCCATGAAATCATCTATTTTTCTTATATATTTTACATTTACCCATATTTTTTGCTGATTAAGTAACTCCTTAAAACAAGCCGTGTGACAACGAAGCGAGGCGAAGTGCAGCTTTCATATATTCTTACATATTTTTATGCTTTTAGTCTTGGAAAGACAAACGATTTTGTATTAACGAGTTTAAAAGCTGCAACCCTAATTTTCCCCCTAGCGTTATATATTTTTTTATAAGTTCTTTTACACAAAACATGTATTTTACTTTAAAATGTCCTACGAATCCACACCAAAAATATTCCAATGTTGCATCTGCTGTCCCTTTTGTTATATTTTGAAATTTAGCGGATGAATCTTTTGTCGTAAAAAAATTCCTTTATTGATTAAGGTGGCCCAGTAGGGAAAACAGTAATATTTTTACAGTAATATTTTTTGAACTTGCGGTTTAACCATGTTTAGATGGTGTTCATCAAGAAAAGTAAGTTTTTCGCCATGTACTGATCAGTTTCATTACAAAATCTTAACTTTTATGAAACTTTCTAAATGGTTGCAATGGTTTTTATAATGGCCTAGTTATTCTGTAAAAATAAAGAAAGCAGTTTAAAAATCAAAGGGCTCACTCAGTTTCTATCGATTTTAATTATCCCCTAACATGTTTACAGAGTACTGAGGTTCTGATTCCTTTGTTTCACTTAGAATTTTTAACAATGAAAGTCATAATAAGATGTTGTCTCTTTTAAACTGTCCATTATTTAAGTCTTGCATTTCACTGAAACAAAGTTAAAATTATCTGTGCAAAGTTCAAGCGATTATGGCACTCGATCGGGAAGTTGACAACCAATTAAAGAATTTAACAACAATTACAAGCAGACCAGCAATCTCACAAAATTTCGGTCATTCGCGCTTCACAGGAGAAACGAGAAAATATACAGAAAGCATTATCACACCTTGTTAAATACGTCTTTAGAACGGCTCGATCCACAAGTCAAACAGGAAGTAAATTATGACATCAGCCCAGGAAGTCTTATAACACTGACGTATTTCCGCTTCTTGGTGCTTTCGATCTCTCAGGCTCTGCTTTAAGTATAAATGCAAACGATCACGGCTAGGTGGGGTACCTCAACTAGCTGGGGTCCCTCACTTACATGTAGACAGGCCCTTACCTGAAAAAATATAAATAATTTGATATTTTTTTCAACGGCAGCCGACGAGATGGAAACAAACCACACTCGTTCATCACAGAATTATACGATTAAGACAGATTTTCCTTAATTCATCAGGCTTTTAAGTAATTTAAATCGATAGGCATCATTAAATTCCGGGCTGTTTGTAAAACCACTCGTCAATGTACCGGGTTTCGAGGTTTTCCAATTCTGATCCAATTTGGGTTTTGTTAGTTCCTGCCATTGCAGATTTCTTTGCCAAAACTGCACCACAGGCAGACCCACAGTATGCGTTCGTGCCTAATAATTGTTGTTGACATGCGACGCACATAATCTGCGAGGGTTATGAAAAACGCTCTGGAAATTGCATATCCACATTGCATCTAGGTCTGAATACCTCAATAAAGTTAAATGAAATGTAAATCGACGCAATTGTGGTATTTTTTGCTCTCGTGGGCCGTTTAAAGCGTCTTTTTGCGAAATTAATTTTGGCTAATGGCCGTTAAAAGAAGAAAGGGTGACCTTGCAACCCTTTCCTGTTAAAGGCCTCCGGTTCAGTTCTCGGTTTGTACTGAGTTTAGATGATTCTTATATTGACAGCAGCAACTAGATTGCTGTGCCTTTTAGATTACTCAAAATTAGAGGAAAGCCGTTCTTGTTTTGACGAAATCGAAAACGTGAGTTGTTTCAATATAACTGCGATCTAAAATATTCTCCTTTAGGTGGCGGGGGTGTCACATGGAATGAACCTTTTCCGGTTAGGACAACATCAAATCCAGCTGAATTGCTTCCTCCTGGCATCGAACAGGTTTAAGAAAGATTTCCTATCACGCTTAATTGGAACTACAGCCTGACGTCGTGTCTAAGTCTTGGTGTCATAAAATTAAACAGTGATGGTATAGTCAGCATTAGAACAGATGATTCAGCCGATCCTGTTAATGCTAAGTTTCAGAACCGGCTCAGTGTTAGCTCGACCAATAAAAGAGCTTCTCTGTTTAATATAGAGACATAATACTTCCTGTCAGCATCTTAGGAAATGTAGAGAACAGTATGAAGGATGTGCATTCTGATGTTATTACTAGTGTACTGATGTTATTACCGGTGTGCTGATCTTACTACTGGTGTACTGATGTTATTACTGATGTAATAGCTTTAGTTTAAAGCTTTTATATCTGAAATCAGATTTCACACTAACTATGGTTTATCTTAACCCAGCTTTGAACAAGACAGCTCCGAAGATTAAATTGCTGCTCTGCTTTCTTACTATTTCACATGTATTAAAACAATCAATATCATTCATGAAATTATTCAACAGATCTTACACAGATAGTTATCAACCAGGAAAAATTTGAAGCACTATTTTGTCTTTTACAATTGCAACCTGACAGGCGAACCCCTGGTTCAACTCTGAGAGCCTTGTAATCAAAATATCATGTTGGTACATGTATGGAGCGACAGCTGTATAATGCATAACTACAGTGTACTTTACAAACAGTAGCAGTTTTCTTGACACTACATATAATGCTTACGTCACGGGAGGTAAGCCATTAAAACCTCTCGGCAACTGAATGTAAGCCATTACCATCACTACCAGTAAATGATAGCACATACTAAAAGAAAGATAAACAGAAAGTGCATCTCTGTTTAGCACTTTAGTAAAAGTTTTTTCAGAGCATATATCATATACTCACAAGCAAAATTCACATGAACTGCTTGGCTATCTGGTTTACCGAAACCACTATATGCAGCACAGTTAATTATTCCTGAATCATTCCTGCTGACTTTTGTTAAAGTTCCCACCTTTCCTTCTTGCCGCACACCAGTATTTCCTTCGTTAACTGTCTTAATTCTCTTCGGCCCAGTTGATGTTTGGTTCTGATCGACCCGAAGATTCACAGGTTAATTAAGTGCAAGTTGCTGCCTCCATGAACAGTTCGTGCACGTTTAATTCCAGTGATTATTGTTGGAACTAAGAGCAATCAAACAAACACAACTAAACTTCAAGAACTATTTGAAGATCAGGTTCAAACACCGTGTGAAAGCAAGAACACTTTTAGCGTGAGAACCTGCCGTGGGATTTCAAATAAGAAAGTTAACAAGTTTAACTTAAAAACTGAAACAGCATTACCTGTCGCTTGCTGTGGTGGAAGTTTCTAACGATCATGCCTCGTTTAATTTTATTTAGATTGTACGTGCGCCTTTATCTTATCCTAGGTTGAGATGACAATGATCTCAATTTTGAAATAAAGCTTTGAGTTTAGATTTGGCTTAACTTCCCAAACTAAATTTTTTTTATCAAAAAGCTCTTCTAAAGAAACAAAATAAACTGTATGCACCAAAGGAACTTGTCATACAAATGTCTTACAAATGTGATAAATACTGTAACAAACAGAAGAGTGTAAGTGTCAGCTACAATTATTAAAATTTAAAGCCATCTTTAGGACCATTTTAACGTTTTGGAGCTCAAAAATTACAGAGCAAATGATACAGGTGTTAGCAATATCATTGTCATTGTCATATATGCAAATGCTCATGATGTTTGGTCTTTATCATCATTTCAGAGGAACATTCACAGAAAACTACTATTAAGAATGAGAAGAAGAAATCTGCAGTTTTAATAATTCAAGTCTTTTTTTTTCTGATATAAATCCAAGAAAAAATCTTCTAATATCTTTGGTGCAAAACATAACAAACCAAACTGATTGAAATCATTGCGAGCAATTTTAGGTTATATCTATAACATATATGTGTCTGAGATACAGTTATTTGAATATGAGAGTGATCTTCGCTGTTATGAACACCACTTAACCAGTAGAGAAAATAAAGCCTGAAAAACATGCAGGCCTATACGGGAGTTAAACCCATGACCTCTGCGATACTGGTACATTCCTCTACCAACTGAGTAACGAAGCAAACCAGGGAAGTGGTTACTTTGTTGGTTTGTACATGTAATAAACCCTCTAAATGATCCACAGTCATTCATTTATCACATTAATTCTCAATTAAAAACGGGATTTAGATGACAATGCATAACCCTTGTTGAAAACGTAAATTTAAACCTTTTCTCCATCTATTTTCACCATCTGCTCATTCTGCCATTAGAATCGCGAATGTTTAACTGAATAGAGTAATCAACCCTTCTTTAAATTTGAAATGACCTCACTGCTACTATTTTAAA